TGTTTCATGTCTGGGTGCTCACCGTGTCACCATGCAGTGTGTATCGCCTATTGTTATGTTCGCTGTTTTTTCTTGTGCTTAGGTGGGACACGTTGAGCGTCCCTTATGCCAATAAAATATTTTAAACTGTATGCAACTTGAGTGTTTGTGTCGTAAAAAATAGTTTAATCTTGTTAACGCTAAAGTCAACTTTTGTTATATTTCACAGTAATATTTTTTTTCATGTTTTTTTCAAAGATTTTAATCAAGAACTTCGTAGCCAGTGAGAAATTCTGTGCATTTGTTCTAATATTGATAAAGGAATTAAGAAGAAAAATTTTAGAGGTTGAAAATATATCCATGCCATTATCATTTTGTTATCGTCGTTAACGTATTTTGTATTTTTTGTGTCTAAATTAGACTTGGGCGAGATGGAAGATGGAATCTTCAAGAAAAGACGGAGTGATGATGTGAGGTTCCGTAATATCCAGAAAGAAAGAAAGAAAAGAAATAAGAGAGTAAGTAGTGTAAAAACGTGCATGGCGACCACAATTTGCCTTCTAGAACATCTAAACGTGCAGAATATCTAAGAAAAATCCTATAACCACACCTCTTTGAATATACCTTGTAATAAAACCTAGCATTCTACAACCAACACCACAATATATGCAGCTTTGAACCAGTGCTGAGTTTGAGGTTACCTGCTTTCTTCTTCATGACGGTGTTTTTAAACCTGACAAACATTTCTTTGTCTTGATCTACTTTTCAGAATTCAGCGCCGTCGTTTGTACCCGCTGGACAATATGCCCCACAGGTAAGTACGTTGTGATTTAAGTTGAACAAAACTTTCAAATGCGAGCAGTGTAAAGCCAAATTATTATGAGATTGTGTTGTAATGTTGTAATTGTAACTATTTTTCAAACCTGTCTGCATACTTATTGGCTTTTGTTTTACTCTGTAATGACTGTATACATGATTTGTCTGTGAATTCTGTTTGTAGCCTGTCAGCAGTTCACCGTCAGCGATATCGAATCCCAGACAAGAAGCTTACCAAATGAGAATGGGAACCGGACCCAAGTCGTCTACTGGTTCAAGTGCAGTGGGTCAAGATCTTGCCAACCTGGTATGTGTTTTGTTATTGTTCTTTTAACCATGCTGCTGCAGACGTGGTGAAGATGACATGCCTTGTAAATCTGTTGTTTGACTAGCCTGGATACTGTTCGTTTGTTTTGTGGTTCTCTCCAAAATGGTCTTGAAATGTTGCCTGGACTTTGCTCTTTAACCATGGAAATTTAATTCCAACGTCATGAAAAATGGGGCTGTTGCATATTTTTGTCTCTGTGGCAGTCACAAAACGTATAACTGTCATCCGTTGTTAAATTAGCATATTCAGATTACCAGATTCCTGTTTTTTATCATCCAATCATTGTCATAGTTGACCGGTCAATGACCGCAAAGTCAAAATATACCCGTAGGCAACATTTCCAGACTATTGTAGATAGGATCCACAAAACATTGGAAGGGAACCAAGCTAATGTTTGACATGTATTTGCATTTAACAAAACAACAATCAATTAAAATACCTAATATTAGAATGGTATTAAATTATACAAGGAATCACATTTTGCACTAGTTTACTCGTTTTTCTGTGCCTGGCATGGCATACAAACAGGAGGCATCAACAATATCATTATCACTTCAGTGGAACATACATTAAATTTTTTAAATATATTGAAAATAACAACCTGATTTTTTTTTTTGCAGGATGCCGCTAAAGCTTTGAAAACTATGCTTGGAAGCGATTCCCAACCCGGAAGTAAAAGAAAGAGGGAGGACGAGGAAGAAGAAGACGATGAACCTAAAGACGATATCAGGTAAAATTAATCAGACTTAGTTTCCATGATGAGTGAGGTGGCAGATGGATAATTGAAACTGTGAATGCATATTACGGGTATTACATGCCCATGTATCTTTTTTTTAAATACCTACTTGGTATTAATATACATGTACCTGACCTTGAACGTGTTTGTATTTAGTAAGGCGATACATTATTTAAAAAAAAGTTTGTGAGGGCAATATCATGATTTGTTGCCCACCATGGTGGTGGGCATGATATAATAATAATATCATGATATCACATCAAACAGACACCACCCAAGCTTAATTATTCAAATATTCAAATTACCAGTATGTAATACCGGTCCTACTATTTAACGCCCGGACACGCGAGGGAGTGTCCGGGCACGCGCGGAGGCGAACAGGGGGGAATACCTAACGCGCGGGGCAGCGGCAGCAATCCTTGTACTGTATAATATTCGTTTATGCTCAAAATTTGAACCGGAGTGGCGAATTCGAGCAGCTAACCACACTTTTTATGATCGACGCCCGGGCATTCCGGCGAGTCGAGTCCGCCATGTTGTTTACTAATTTTGGTTAGCGTTTAACAATAGGACAATACCATTCGATCCATGGGGGTGACGGTACGGTAAATATCGTGAACGGTACGCGGTACAGAGTTCGGTAAATCTCGTGTACGGTACAGAGGGGATATGTTCGTCCAATGTTTTTATACTTTGTAATGTAATTCAAACAAATAAATAAAAAACGTATATTCGTACCATGGGCAAGACTTAAA